TTATCGGCTTACGAATTTATAATATTAATGTAATTTCTTTATTTTATTATAAGAACTGTTATAGATTAGTTTTGCTTATCAAAGTACTTATTTTTTCGCGAAGGCATTAGTGCTTTTCTGAATAACCATAAGCCATATGAATTTACCTCCCAATTTAAGTTTTTTGTGTGACTTTATTTGAGACCATCCTTAGATTTGTCTTAATGAAGAAGGCTAAAGTATTTGACTATAGCATTCCTTTCTAGATAGTGATCTAATTAAAATTTTATCCGAGACCAGCTTGAAGTCAAAATTGTAAAAACACTTGGCGTACAAAGTATTGCGGTATAAAACTCCTTCATATATCTCAAGTAGTCTCAACATCAATCCCCTAAACCAAGCGATGGGCAGATCAGTATATCGAAGATACATTATTTTTCAGCATTCTATTTTTGGTCATTTAAACCTCACCCAATATTCTGATATGATTTTGGGTTTATCTTCTAATTTTCCTTCTAACTGTCTATCTACCAATATATCGAATTGGTATTTCTGATTTGCTCTTTACAGCCGCATTCTCATCGACACTCGAGACACCGTCGCATGGTTATGAATCATCACTCACGTATGTTACTTTCATTCCTTTATTCATAGGGTTTGTGATTTTTCTATGCACTTCTTTTTTACAAAATTGGTTCTACTCAAAGTTATACCTTTGCTTATTGTAGTATGGCTTGATTGCGAGTTGAGTAGAAAGCCTGACTCAATTCTACTTGAATAAATTTTGGTACTAATTGTATATCAATATTGTTCTTCTTTATTTAGCTCTTCACCATTTTTTTTTACAACATTCCACTTCATTCACTGCACCACACGATTCTGTTTCTTTATTACCTAAAACTAAATATAAGAATAAATGTTTTAAGCCATAAATGCTGATCAGCTAACGGCTGTTGCTGATTACTTATACGAATCCCAGATCAGTTGATTAGTATTCTATATAGTTCTACACTCATTAACCATGTATAGCGCATTGTGTTTGTCTGAAATTGGAGTGCCAATGCACCAAGCGAAGCAACAGTATTCACATTATCGTCATTTCGATTGCACTTTTAACAACATGCCTCCTCTGTCTAAACGTAATAATAGATTAGCCTAAATTCTGTACCATAGCTATTGTATATATATCTCATATATAACTTCAGTACGGCGACGCAGCTATTCACAACGCAGCCTGTCCGTCGGAGGCCGACTATTCCCAGCTAGTCACCTCGACGTTGAATTGTCTACCTCCAGGCCCGGAAGTCTCGCTGTAGAGTCAGCCACAATTGGGCGGTTGTTCTCCCAATGCTCTCCTGGCCTCCTGACTGGCAATCCGACAGAAGAGGCTGTTGCATCTAGGCGAGCATGCGTTGCCCGAGGCAATAGGGTTTCTAGTGTAGCTGCAATCGCCCCATGTGAAGTGGACTCGACGACCTCTATTGTTGCTAATGAAGCTGAATCATCTATTCATATCGGCCATGATGTCGGTGGACGAACTGATTCGATGTTATGGACTGCTGGCGAGAGTGATGTGGCTAGCGAGATGAACAGTCATCTACTTAAAGAACGGTCTTCAATGTATCAAGATGGTGTCTCGATTTTAAACATGGATACAGGATCAGGCAAGTCTTCTTTTAGGATTTCTGTTTCATTTCCTATAGAGATTGTTTGACCTTGTTTTCGCAACATGGTCATATTGGTAGGAAGACTTAGAGGAATGCACCTAGTCCGGAG